CCTCGCTGTTTTCCTACCTCTTGGTCCCACCTACTGAGTCTGGGAACAACCAATTGGATCAGAGAGTGTGAAAGCAAGTACGCCAATCGCCCAGCCGTAGGGGCGGGAGAGGGCGTGGAAATATCCTGCCCCGCCCCTCCTCCGTGGCTAGTTTTTCCCTGCTGGCACCTCTGAAAGGACCGAAGACATGGGCACCACCTGGGTGAGCCCCGGATGGGTGCGGCTTGCGCTCTGTTTTGCAGGCTTAGCGCTCTCTCTCTATGCGCTCCACGTGAAGGCGGCGCGCGCCCGGGACAAGGATTACCGCGCGCTCTGCGACGTAGGCACCGCCATCAGCTGTTCGCGCGTCTTCTCCTCCAGGTGCGCGCCAGATTAGAAGGCATGCGGCCCCGGGGACTATATGTGCTTGAGTCTCGAATCTGGGACTCCGGTGCCCAGGGAAGAGACACCCGGGGGCCCGGACTGTTTAAGGAGGTGTGCATGGAGAATTGGGTGTGCATGGGGGCTGGGCTACCCAAATACTGGTGTTCGCGGCAGAGAGTAAGATAGTGCTGGAGATTCGAGTTATTCTAGGGAATTGCACGTGGATCCGCATGCCAAGGAATAACGGTGAGCGGGGAAGGTGGGAGGAAGGGTTCCGCGTAGGGACTGATGATTCTTAGATGGCGGGGGAGCTGGGTTTCTGGTGATGGCCATGTTAAGGGACAAGGAGGCCAAGTCTCACTGTACTTAAGGGCCAGAGTTTAGCGGTTGACGGGATGATGGAATACAGAGTAGGGGAGTGCGTGACCAGGGAGCCAGGGATTTGGAGGTCTAAGGCAGAGAATCCACGCTGAATTCCCAGCCTCTGGTAACTCTATAAAGCAAGGTCAACTGCCATCTGCTGACTGCAGGGTCAGCCTTCCCATCTTAAGATCGTATTTAAGATCTAGAATGATGAAAAAGGGTCTGACCTGGAGTTGGGGGCAGTGACATGGAATTCTGACGTGGCTAACGGTGCTGGATGGCCAGATCATTGACCCTTGGACTGGGGGAGGGTAGGGGTTGGGGAAGGACAGCCCAGGTTGCCTTCTTGGAAAAAACCCTCTGGGATTGGGTCCTAAGCACAGGGTTGACACTCCTAACCTGGTTTCCCTCCACCACCACTACCACCAGGTGGGGCCGGGGCTTTGGGCTGGTGGAACATGTGCTGGGACGGGACAGTGTCCTCAATCAATCCAACAGTATATTCGGTTGCATCTTCTACACTCTACAGCTGGTGTTAGGTGAGTGGCCCCGCCCCTTTCCCTGGAGGCCCCTCCCCTTGGCCTCCTACTCTATGCAGACCACCAGTTACTCATTACTGAGCATCCTGGGGGCAAGGACGCAGGGAGGGCACAAGCAGGAATCTTAGTTGTTTCTTTGTCAAAGGCTAAAGGGCCCTTAAAGACTCCCTAAGGGGCCAGCTGGTGGCATGGTGGTTAAGACAGTTGGATCCCACTTGGCCCACTGTGCAGTTGAGTTCTGGACCCAGTGGCTTGAAAAACACGCCAGGCCTGTGTATTTTTTGTGCCCAAAATCCTGAGAGAAGGATGGAAGAAAAGGGACTGTAGTGTAGCCATCCCCCTAGAGGGGCTTTCTCACTGCCCTGCCCATCTCTCACAAGTGCATATGCCCTTTAGCCAAAAAAAAAAAAAAAAAAAAAAAAAAAAAAGGCAGACTTTCTATTACCCTAAATTCCTTTTTTGGGGGAATCCAAGGATGACCTATCTTTCATTCTTTAAATTTTACCACAGGGCATATGCTCACCAAAAAGACAGAGAGGGAAAGCAAGAAATAACCCCAATGAGGCATGGTCATGCCACAATCCTTTCTCTGCTATTTCTTCCTTCTATCAGGACTTTGGGCACATGCATACACACGCCTGGCGTGTTTTCCAAGTCACTGGGTCCAGGCCTCAAACCACACAGTGGGACATGTGGGATCCAGTCGCCTTAATTACCATGCCACTGGCTGGCCCAGATGACCAGCCTTTCATGTAGAGCTCAGCAGAAAAATTCCTTCTTTGGATCCCAGGGATCATTGAACACATAGAGAAACCAAGGTCTTTTTTTTTTTTTTGAGAGATTTTCACTGTAGGGCGCGTGCGCTCGCCAGACAGACAGAGACATAGGGAACCAAGGTCTTAAAGGGAGCCTAACAGGGCTTTTTTTTTTTTTTTTAAGAATTACTGTATCTTAACTTTATTTACTTTTAATTTGACCAGAGAGGGACAGAGAGAGAGAGAGAAAGTGAGAAAGCAAGCTGCCAGGTCTGGGACTCAGACCACAGTCAGCTATGTGGGAGTCCAACACCCTTAATCACCACGCCACCTGCCAGCCCCCAGAGCTTTTTAAAGAGCCCTGTCTCCAGAAACCCTGCTGTCTGGGTGGCATCTGGGTGGTACTGCAGACATTGTGGCAATGTTCTAGAAGTAGCTAGTCTCTGAAGCAAGTGCCTGACCCTTTTCTGCCTTGCAGGTGGCCTTCGGGGACGTTGGTCCTCTATCCTGCTGGTGCTGAGTTCCTTGGTGTCAGTCGCTGGTTCTGTCTACCTGGCCTGGATCTTGTTTTTCGTGCTGTATGATTTCTGCATCGTTTGCATCACCACCTATGCCATCAACGTGGGCTTGATGTTACTTAGTTTCCGGGAGGCCCAGGAACCCCAGGGCAAGATCAAGGGGCACTGAGCCCTCACCCCAAGCCAGGCTGACCTCATCTGCTTTGCTTTGGCATATGAGCTTTGCCCAAGGGGGCCATATCTGGGTCCTGGAAGACCCTCCATCCTTCCCACCACCATCCCATACCCATATACAATGGACAAAATGTGCCACATTCTGCTCCACCCAGTGCCTCTGGCTCTGTCTCCAAGGGCTGATTTCTGAAGCACCTGCCATTGCCCAAGAAGGGAAATTTCTGAGCAATAAAATTTTTGAAATAAATTGGCCAAGTCTGAACCATCTGTCTGCCAGGGATCCTGGTGTGGGGCCTCCCCAACTGTTGCCTTCTCTGGAACTGGAAGATGAGTCAGAAGGAGAGTGGAGGACCTGGCTGGAAAGGGTGGCTATAGCTAGTCCCATCAAGAGCCCATGGAGTCAGCAAGGCCTGGGGCGCCTCAGCCCCCACCCCTGGAAACAGACCAGCAGCTCATTCCCACTGGCCACAGGAGCCAGGCCTCCCTGGGAGGGCAAGCTGCTCTTCTGGTTCTGTGCATGCTGGCTGGGAAGTCCTTCCTATAATTTAACCTTAACCCTTACAACTGACCTTCCTATCCTAAGCCAGGCTTGTAAGCCTTGGAGGGTCAGGTCCAGTTTGTGAGTGTTTTTTTTTTTTTTTTTTTTATCCTAATATGTAATGAGTGAGCACCTCCCACGTCAATCACTGTTTAAGAACTTGTGCTGGGACCAGCAGATGGCATAGCGGTTACATCATAAGACTTCCACATGGCTGATCATGGTTCAAATCCTAGACCTGGTGGCTTCAAACTCATGCTAGGCAGGTGTGCGTATGTGCCCAAGATCCCAGGAGGAGAATGGAGGAGAAGGGATTATGGCATGGCCATCCCCCCTGGAGGTGATTTCTCACTTTCTCTGTCTCTCTCTCTCCAGCGACCAAACGTACCCTACAACAAAAATCTCACAAAAACAAAAACAAACTTGTGCTAATTCACTTAAACCTTATAGCAATTGTATGAGGTATAGGCACTGTTATTATCCCTATCTCACTGATGAAACTGAGGTACAGAGAGGCTAAGTAATTCACCTACGGTCACACAGCTAGTATTGGGGAGGTCGGGGAGCTCTTGGAATCTGAATCCACCTGGGCCATCTGGCTCCAGCATCTGTGCTCGAAACCCTAACCACAGCTGCCTCCGTGTTGGGTTCAGGTTGCTGAACAGTCTGCACTGACCAGAGGTAGGAGTCAGGTAGAGAAAAAGGTTTTACCTGCAGGTCCTTCCTCTTGCCTGAGTCCACCACCTGCTAGGAAGATGGACACTCTCTAACTCTGCTTCCCGGGAAGGCAGCAGCTTCAGAAAGGTATTGGGATTTACCAAAGGCTCCTGGCCAGGAAGTAGCAGACAGCCCAGGCCCCTCAGCCCCCAGCCCCACACACTTTGCCTCTGCAGCAGACCTGGGGAAAAGGTATGTGACACCCACTTGGCCCTGGCCTGGGAGAGAGGCAGGAAAGCTGGACTGAAAAGTGGGAACTGCCCACTGTGCCCTTCTCAGTTCCAGGATGACTTTGAAGGCAAGTTTATTCTACATCAGGCTCTAATCAAAGCAGTTTTTGTTGCTGTTGTTTAGGTTTTGCCGTAGAGCATGCACACTTGTAGGAGAGAGATGGAGACAGAAAGAGGGAAAGTAAGAAATCACCCCTCTGGAGGATGGCCATGCCACAATCATTCCTCCATTCTCCTGGGATTATGGGCACACATACCCAACATGGTTTTCAAGTCACCAGATCTAGGACTTGAACCATGGTTAGCCAAGCGGAATCCAACACCTAAACCACCACACTGCCTTCTAGCCTGTCAAAACAGTTGTACATTCAATGGCTCTGAGATTTTCAGGCCAAGGTATAGACAGGTTAATTGTCCAATGTTACTAATGTAGTAAGTAGGAGGACTGAGATTTGAACCTGAGCAGTCTGGCTCCTTTTCTGCTGAGGCCAAGAGGGGTAGTGACTAGGCCAGGGTCACATAGCCACAGCCCCAGAAATAGGAGCTGCTGGCTCCTGTCCAGCCCAGGAGAAGCAATTACACTTGATTCCTAACCAACCCCTAGCCAACTGGGGGTGGAGCAGAGGTGGAGTCAGGTAGATCAGGTGTCTTCTCATAACCAGAGCGCCCAAGCAGAGTGGCCTAGAGCAGCATGAAGCAGAGCTGGGGACCAGGGCTGCTCATCCTGGGAGCAGTGGTCCTCATAGAGGGTGAGCTACCTGTGTGTGATGGAGGGGGCATGGTACAGTGGAGGTCCGGGGGCCACCCTTGGCCCCAGCAGCCCCCATAACTTGGTGTATGTGAGGGGGCCTGCCTGTGGGGCACCAGTCTGCCTGTGGCACTTTAACTGTTGGGTCTGAATGTGGGGAAGAGTATGTGTGGAAAGGGTGTGATTTTCTTCAGCTGGGTTAGCCTATATGCTAGACTGTAGCGTCTGCGCGTAGTCCTGTGTGTATCCTGTGCCCTTTTCTACCTTTCTACTTCCAGAATGACCTCAGGCAAGTTCTAGGCCCCCTGGCCTCAGTCTCCCTGTCTACATCTGTCCCATCTCTTGTCTGTCCTGGCCCAGATGTGTAATGCGTGTATTTGTATGTGCCTGTGGTGGGCAAGGCACAGGGCAGGGACCCTATGGTAGGACCCTGGCAGTTTCTGGGAGAGTGGAAGGTCTGAGTCGTTAAAACAGGAGTGGGTTGGGCCTTAATGTCCTGGGGCCCTCCCCTATTTGGTCATGATGAGGCCTTCAATCCTTCCTCACAGGTCTCCACAGCTGATTGGACAATTAAGTTAATGCTCTCCTATACACAGACTGTCTCCCTGACTCAGCGGCGGGGGCAGGAGTTGGGGGTTCTCCGATCCTGGAGGAGGGTTGGCCTGGTCCCAACGTGAACCCAGGGCCCCGTTCCTCAGGCCCAGGAGTGCTGAGTACAGCTGAGGGAGAATTAATTACTGAGCGTAAGCTCTGAATAGGTTCCAATAAAAGCTGTTTCTTGACCTCATATAAATATTTTCATTCTGGGAGGGGCTGATGAGGTAGCCAGAGCATCGTAGGCAAGGATCCAGGGCCCATCCCCAACCCATCCTTTCCACCAAGCCTGGGCTAGGCAGGTAAGTTCCTCAAGCCTCACCTGTGTCTCTCTCTTCCCAGGTCTTCGAGAAGCTCAGCGAGGTAAGCTCTGGAGATGAGGTGCTTGGGATGAGAGCAGGACAGGGTCTACCACCAGTATGACCCACCTCTCTCCACAGCCTGTGGGCAACGTGGCCCTGGTCCCCCCGAGCCTCAGGAAGGCCTCACGGTACCTGGCGAATGGCCCTGGCAGGCCAGTGTGAGGAGGCAGGGAGTCCATATCTGCAGCGGTTCCCTGGTAGCGGACACCTGGGTCCTCACTGCTGCCCACTGTTTTGACAGGTGAGTCATGATTGGGGTCAGAGAGGGTCTCTGGCTTTGGGGGGGGGGTGGATAATTTGTCTCCAAGTCCTGTAAGCTTTGTCCCTGTCCCTAGGATAATAAAGCACCATTTACTGAGAATCCACCATCTACAGGCCCATTATCTTCAAGTTAATTTTTACCTTTCACGGCAGAAGCTTTACAAACAAGAAACTGCAGTCAAGAAAAGGGAAACACCTTGCTTAAAGCCACAAACGGCCACCTGCCCGTCTTTACCTACCTACACTATCTCCCACAGTGTCTGTCTCCCCTTGCAGAGTGGCAGCAACAGAACTGAACTCCTGGTCAGTTGTCCTGGGTTCTCTACAGCGTGAGGGGCTGAGCCCAGAGGCTGAGGAGGTGGGGGTGGCTGCCCTGCAGCTGCCCAGGGCCTATAGCCACTATAGCGAGGGCTCAGACCTGGCCCTGGTGCGGCTTGCCCACCCCACAGCCCACACGCCCCTCTGCCTGCCTCAATCTGCCCACCGTTTCCCCTTTGGAACCTCTTGCTGGGCCACTGGCTGGGACCAGAACAACAGCGATGGTAAGTGCTGTCCCAGACTGAAGCCCAGAGAGGCAGTCTACTTGCCCAAGGCTACACAGTCTTAGCTCCCAAATGATCCTGCTCCTAGTCTCCTTGCTTCCCAGAGCCCAGACTCAGGCCCCAGCCCCGTCTCTTTTGCCAGCTGCCAGGGCTCTACGGAATCTGCGCCTGCGTCTTATCAGCCGCCCCACGTGTAACTGTCTCTACAATCGGCTGCACCAGCGTGTGTTGGCCAGCCCTGCCCGGCCTGGGATGCTGTGTGGGGGTGCCCAGCCAGGAGTACAGGGGCCCTGTAAGGTCTGAGGGGCAGCAGAAGAGGGGAAGGGAAGAGGAAGGGACACCTAAACTTGGGCTTGGGGCTCAACCCATAAAGGTGGGTAAAGGGCTGCAGAGGATGTCTGCCCAGGGCTAGACCTCAGGTGTCTGTCCTTGGCTCTGGTCCCTGGCTCCAGGGAGATTCTGGAGGCCCTGTGCTGTGCCGAGAGCCCGATGGCCACTGGGCTCAGGCTGGGATCATCAGCTTCACAACCAGCTGTGCTGAAGAGGACACACCTGTGCTGCTGACCGAGTTGGCTGCTTATAGCTCCTGGCTGCAGGCTCAAGCTCAGGGGGCAACCTTCCTATCCCAGACCCCTGAGACCCCAGAGATCAGTGATGAGGACAGCTGTGTAGGTATGAACAAGGGATGCTGGGGCTGGGATGTGTGGGGACACCCAGGTCTGTGTGAGGATTTCTGGGGAGAGAATTGATACTGGGCATCCATACCAAGGGCTACCACCGTGGTTTTAGGGTCCCTCTCAGTCCGAGATGGGAACAGTCTCATGAGGGCTGAGAGGCATACACAGACTCTTTGGAACCTAGAGGCTTTGTAACTTAGACACTAGTGAGCTGAGAGTTCAGGTAAGAAGGATCTCTGTGAGCTGGCTGAAGGTTTTGGGGGAAAGCTGCAAGCTTTCAGGCAGGGACCCAGCAAGGCTGGACAGGGCAGGGCTCCCACTCGGAATTCATTTGCATGTCTGCTACTTAATGCAGACATGCAAATCACATGCAAAATAATTCCTGGGACGGAAGTTCTATCTTGATGGTAAGAGAAGCACTAATGAACCAGAAATTCTGGAGGCAGACGAAGCCTGGAGGGATGTGGACGGGTGGGGCAGAGGAGTAATGCACAGGGCCAATCTAGTAAGTCTGGGACAGGAGCACTGTAGACATCAGGGTTAAAATCTCCAGCTCTGGGCCAGCAGATAGTATGATGGTTAGAGCACTGGATCCCACATGGCTGACTTCATGGATCAAGTCCTGGACCCAGCAGTTTGAGAATCATGCTGGGTGAATGTGGATGCATGCCCAGAATCCCAAGAAGAGAGTAGAAGAGAGAGGGCTTCAGTGTGGCCATCTCCCCTGGGGGAGGGGGTGATTTCCCACTTTCTATCTCTGTCTCTCTCTGGTGAGAGCACACACCCTATGGCAAAAATCTAAAAAAAAAGTCAGGCCAGCAGGTGGCATAGGAGGTTAAGGTGCTGGATTCCCACGTGGCCAACCTCAGTTTGAGTCCTGGACTCAGCCTGAACATCATGCTGGGTGCGTGTGTCCATGCCTCAGATCCCGAGAGAACAGAAATAATTAAGGTGTATCCATCCCCCCTTGGGAGTAATTTCTCACTTTCTCTCCATCCGGTCTCTCTGGTGAAAACCACATGCTCTGGGAACCAGCAGTTAGCGTAATGGCTATGTCGCTGGACTCCCACGTAGTCGACCGTGGTTCGCGTCTCGGACCCGGTGGCTTAAATCTCACGCCGGGCGCGTGTGCGTGCGTGCCCAAGATCCCGAGAGGAGAATGGAGGAGAAGGGATTGCGGTGTGACCATCCCCCCTGGGGGGTGATTTCTCGCTTTCTGTCTCTATGTCTCTCTCTCTGTCTGGCGAGCGCACGCGCCCTATAGCAAAAACCTCTCCAAAAAAAAAAAAAAAAACCACATGCTCTATGGCCAAAACATAAAAATGGAAAAAAAAAAAACTTAAAAAAACCCTGCAGCCCTAGCCTTTGAATCTTAAGTCTGCTACTTGCCAGTGGTCAGAGAGCTAGAGCACTTGACTTCTCTGGAATGTTGGTTACCTTTCACAAACTTTAACTTAGAATGACATTGTGAGGATTTGACAGCATGTAACAAGTGATTAGGGAGGGAAGGGCCTGATCCACAGGAAGCACTTAATAAATCAGATGATGTTATCCATGTGTTTCAGCCTGTGGATCCTTGAGGACAGAAGGTCCCCAGGCAGGAGCCCCCTCCCCGTGGCCCTGGGATGCCAGGCTGAAGCACCAGGGTAAGCTGGCCTGTGGTGGAGCCCTGGTGTCAGAGGAGGCGGTACTGACTGCTGCCCACTGCTTCATCGGGTAAGCCCTATATCCCTGTGCTCCTGGCCCCTGCTGCAGCCCTGTCACCCAGTGCAGCCAACGTTGCCTTTGCACAGGCGCCAGACCCCAGAAGAATGGAGCATCGGGTTAGGGGCTGGAGCAGAGGAGCGGGGCCTGAAGCAACTTATCCTGCATGGGGCCTACACCCACCCAGAGGGGGGCTACGATGTGGCTCTCCTGCTGCTGACCCAGCCTGTAACACAAGGCCCCAACCTGAGACCCCTCTGCCTGCCCTATACCGACCACCACCTGGCTGATGGGGAGCGTGGCTGGGTCCTAGGGCTGGCCCGCCAAGAAGCAAGTAAGTAGGACCAAGGCTACCAGTGGCTGTCCACCTAGCCTAAAGGCTGCTGGAGCATCGGGGTCTTTTCCCTTGTCCTATAGGCAACAGCTTCCCCCTGACAGTGCCTGTGACCCTCCTGGGGCCTAGGGCCTGCAGCCGCCTGCACACAGTTCCTGGGAGTGACGGTATCCCCATTCTGCCAGGGATGGTGTGTACCAGTGCTGTGGGTGAGCTGCCCCTCTGTGAGGTGAGCCCTAGACTCCCAAATCTAACCCAACAGACGTCTAGTGTCTCACCCTGAAGGTTCACAACAGGCCTATCAGCCTTGGATCCAGCCCTCCCAGCTTGAAATAGGCCTTTTTGCCAACTAGCCCCCAAATAACCAGAGTTTCTGTCCCTAGTTCTTCCTGCACCCCTGCAGTGCCTAAGGGGAAGAGAAAATCACTCTGCCATCTGTCCCGACAGGGCCTATCCGGGGCACCACTGGTACACGAAGTGAGGGGCACATGGTTCCTGGCTGGGCTGCACAGCTTTGGAGATGCCTGCCAGGGCCCCGCCAGGCCTGCAGTCTTCGTGGCACTCCCTGCCTATGAAGACTGGGTCAGCAGTTTAGACTGGCAGGTCTACTTCGCTGTGGAGCCAGAGCCAGAGGCTGAGGCTGACACTGAGACTGGAAGCTGCCTGGCCAATGCGAGTATGTGGCCCTGGGTCTCCCTCTCTATGCCCCTTCTCTCTCATCTAGAGAGGTGTGGTTTTGGTCCACCTCTGTCTGCTGTGTATGGGAAGTGGACAGACCCACCGGAATTCAAATTCTGGTTCTTCGTCACTATGTGTCTTAAAACAGACCTCTCACCCTCTTTGAACCTCGGTATTCTCATCTGTCACATGGGCTAAGACAGATCCTATTCCTTGGGCAGAGGAAGCAAAGTTGTAAGAATTATTCCAACGTCACTCTACTTTGTCTCCCTGACAGGCCAATCAGCTAGCTGTTGACCAGACACTCTGGGCCGTTCGAAGAATGCAGGCAATTTCCACTGCATGGCCTCTGCTGCTCCCTCCCGACCCCTCCTCACCACCCATACCTTCAGCCCCAGCATGTGAGGTCCAGCCCAGCTGGCTGTGGAAAGGAACCTGTCCAGGACCAACAGATACCTTGACTCCGCACCCTGCAGGTCAGGGATGTCCCTTGTAGACACCCCTAACCCAAGTCTACCTCTGACACAGGCATTCCCAGCTCTGGCTATCCTTCATCCCCTCAGATACAATCACACTTGCCACATGTTTTGAAAATTTCTTTTTTGTGGGGGAGCAATTTTCCTTTTTTTAAACTTAAATAAATTGTTACAAAATAGACTTTAGAAAATAAGTTACAAATTGTAGCAAAAGGCTCCCCTTTCACAGGCAACATTCTCACCCATGGTGGTCTCCGAATCTGCCTCTCCCTGGTATTGGAACCCAGTTGATGAGGGTGACCAAGCATCCTGGCAAAGCCTGGATGACAGCCTGGGTCCTCTTCACAGGGAGAGAAGAAAAGAGATGGGGATGCCCAAACTACTCCTGAGTGAAACATGGAGATCAAGCCCCTCCTTGCCCGCACCCCCTTCTCCAATATTCTGATCTTTGGAGATGAAGTTCAGAGAGAGAAGCTGAAGTCTGCAGGCCACTGGGGTGAAGGGTCCAGGAGTGGGGTCATGGGGGTGGATGGAGGGGGCAATGACAAGTCCGCTCTACCTGTTGCTGGTGCCACTGGGGCTCCTGGGGAGAGAGAGAGGATGTCACTGACTGAGGGGGCAGACCCCATGCAGCTTGTACCCCGCCCCCAGCCCTACAGACCATTCCCCGCAATACCATGGCCCAGAGGCCTGTATGAAAACCAGGAAGCCTGGGAATCCCATTTATTTTTCCTGCCCTGGCTAACTGGCAACTTAATTCTTTTCCCTTAAAGTTACAAGAAATCTTTTACCCTGAAAGTCATCCCTTCAGCTCTCAAAGGACTCTTACCCACCATGACCTCCATCCTTGAGAAGCTCTGGCCAAGGGCTCACTATCTCAGGGACATCCACCCTCGGTAGCCACTAGATGGAATGGGTACTCCTCTCTTGAGGTGAAGAGAATAGGCCCAAGGCTTGCTGAAGAAACAGGGTGTCCCACTCCTCCAGAGCCTAGTCTTCCAGCCGGGGCTGGGTGGAGGTGTCTACACAGAGATGCCTCTGATAGAGGAAGTGAGATAGGGGCTAATGACTGTTGTTGCAATACCTGGGCCTGGCTTCAAAGGAACAATTATTTATGACTCAGTCCTCCAGTTAAAGGTGCACTGGTATGGGAGGGAGGGTGAGGGGCAAGTACAGGTGGAAAGGAGAGCTTATTTGGAGGTTCTAGCAGGGGAGCGTAGCTACTGGTATGTAGCACAGGGAAAACCAAGACTTGAATAAAGGGAAGGAGAAAAGGACCAGAGGTCTACTTTTCAAGAGAAGAGGATGAGAAGCAAGGACAAGATATATGGAAAGAGGGACAGGGAATTGAGTGCCAACCAATGACCGAGTTTATGTGGCCAAGTCAGCAGTGAAGCCACAAAGCAGTCTAGTCTGGGGATGCCTCTCCAGGCCCCATTCCTCTTTCCCAAAAATTGTTTATTCTAGGAAGAGACCCTCAACCAAATCATTTGTTTCATCTTTTTCTCTGGAAATTACTTCACTACACAATTAGGAAGGTTTCCAGATGTGGTAGCCAGGTGATACCCAGCTACCTTTCCCCTAAAAAAGACCATTACTCTTTGACTGCAGCATAGCAGAGGAGCCCAGGCAGCTGCCTCTGTCCTGACCATGACCCCACACCCTGTACCACCCCAACTCACCATGCTGTTTACCTGACCTAGAACTTCAGATCTCAGTGGCCCAGCATCCTCAAACTAGTTTTCTCACTCTATGTCCAAGCCCCCAGCCACCTCCTGAATGTCCATGACTCTTCTCACTCCTTGCTCTCTCATCTACCTTGGGGCCCAATTTTGCCCTCCAGTGGGTGCCCACCTGCTTTTGGGCCCCTTCGATTCTCTGCCCAAGCCCGTTCATGCCCCCGTACCAGAGCTGGCCACTGTCCATTCCTCCTGGTGCTGCTGCTGGTGCTGCAGGAAGCTAATTTGGCGGCGGAAGTGACGAGGACAGTGAGGGCAGGTGAAAGGCCCCTCCCGGGGTGCATGGACACGCCCGTGGCCCTCCAGCCGGGCAGCTGTCCGAAAGGCCTTGCCACAGATGCTGCAGCGATGGCGCTTGGGGTCTGTGTGGGTCCTGCCATGGTTCTTAAGAGACAGCAGATTGGGTAAAAGTTTGGGGCAGAGGGAGCAGGGATAAAGTCCAATGGTATGGGCCTTCTGATGGTTCAGCGGGCTGCCAGCATGTCGGTAGGATCGCCCACACTGGGCACAGCGGAAGGGTCGTTCCTTGTCTTCAGCCACTGTGACATTTGTTCCTTGCCCTCCACTAGCTTTCTCGGCATTTTCTTCCAGGGTCCTAGGGTGTTCCGATGGAGCCTCCTGAGCTTTCCCTTGATCAGAGAGCCCCACATCATCCTTTACAGTCACAGCCAAAAGACCTCTGGCCTCCTCTATGTGGGTCAGGACCTGACTATGGCCTGTGGAATGAGTCTGCAGGTGGCTGGCCAGTTCATGGTGGGACTGAAAGGTCTGACCACAGTCTGGGCAGGCAAAGGTCTGGGCAGCTATATGGTTGTGGCTGTGGCTCTTAGTGGCCACAGGATTCAAGAACTCTTTGGAGCAGAGCAGGCAATAGTGGCGATCTGTCTTGTGGGTGTTGTGGTGGTTCAAGAGACCACCTGATGGGCAGTAGGCCTTGTCACACTGGCTGCAGGTAGAGGAGCAGCTCTCCACCTGGACTTCAGAGCTGGTGTCTCCATTATCCCAAGTACCCATGTGATTTAGACTAGGTCCATTGGACTGGCTATCACCAAGGTGGCAGGGACTTCTAGAAACGCTGTCCTCTGACTCATCTGGCTTGGTGAGGACCTGACCCTGGGGAACCCAGCTTCCATCATGATTCACCAGTCTGTCGTCTCCTCGCCACCCATCTGTCTTCTCTGTGCCCCAGGATGGTGGTTCTGTGGCTTCTGAACCTGTTTTTCTGATGGGGCTCTGCCTATGATCCCCTGGCCTCATTGCTTCATCTTCCAGCTGTGGTACTAACTCAGCATCCCTTGATCTGTCCTCTAGTCCTTTGCAGTCATCAGCCCCCTCACTGCTCTCTGTGTCCTTTGCGCCTCCCTGGCCACTATCTGGCTCCATTTTGGTTTTCTCATGTTCCCGCAGGTGCCGCTCCAGAGATGCCCGGCCAGGGAAGCCACAGCCACAGAGTGCACAGCGCACAGCTGCCCGTCGGGATCGTCCTGCCCGCCGCCGCCGACTTTCTGAATGCAGCCTCTGATGGTCCCTGAGGGCCATGCAGTTGGAGTAGGTCTTAGGACAGGTGGGGCAACTGTACTGGCCTGTCTCATGGCTGCGGCGGGGGTTCAGGGGGGCGCCCGCCTGGCGGGGTAGGTCTTAGGACAGGTGGGGCAACTGTACTGGCCTGTCTCATGGCTGCGTCGGTGATTCAGGAGGCTGCCAGCATGGCGGTAGGTCCTTCCGCACTGACCACACCGAAAGGGCCGATCTTCCCGAGTCAGCTTTCGGGTGCTCCCACCCCCACGCCGCTCAATGTGAACCCGTTGGTGGCTGGCCAGCTGTTTCCGCAGACGGAAGGCCTTCCCACACTCACTGCAGCGAAAACGTCGTGGATCTGCATGGATGCGCCGGTGGTTCTTGAGGGACATGAGGTTTGAGAAGCCCTTGGAACAAGCCTGACACCCAAAGTGGCCAGTCTGGTGGCTCTGCCGGTGATTGATGAGGCTGCCAGCGTGCTTGTATGACCGGCCACACACCTCACAGCTAAAGGGCCGCTCAGAGCTTGCCTCAGTCTGGCAGCCCTTCTCTGCAGTCTCCATCCTCAGCTCTATCTCCTTCCCCTTCACAGCAGTTTCCTCCCATACCTCTTCTTTCACCCTCGCTACCTCCTCTAGGGGCTCCACTTTCAGTTCTTCCTGGAGCTTCCCTGCTTCTGCCTGGTCTGGCCTCTCCTCTGCTATATTCTGGGGATCACTGCTGCCTCCTGCTTCTTGGAGGGGCCCCACCTGGGGCTCAGAACCTTTGCAGCGAGGGTGGTTCCGCAGGTGATTACGGTAGGCAGCCATGTTAGGGTAGCAGCGGGAGCAGACAGGGCATATGAAGTCTCCAGTCTGGTGGATCTTGCGGTGGTTCACCAGGCTGCCACCATGGCGATAGGTTTTGCCACACTGGTTGCAGCGAAAGGGGCGAGGTTGGGCCTCCAGAAAATTTTCACTACCCTGAATGCAAAGGCCATCTGCAACTGTGGCACCTACTCCCTCTTCAGACTTTATGTCTCCACCTTCTCCAGAGACAGAGGTCACCGTGTCTTCAGAGACACAGTCTGCAACTATATCCATGGTATCACCTGATGTTCCCAAGTGGGTGGGAGTCTTGTCTGTGGTATTCCCAGAACTTTGCGTTTGGTGGTGACGCTCCAGGCTCCCCAGGTCATCATAAGTCTGACCACAGCAACCACAGATGTGCCCATAACCTGCTCCATCCAGTGCTTCCACCTCCCGCTGCAGCTGATTCAGTAGTTCTGCTTCTGAGAGCTGCAGTGGAAGGTTCTGGGTAGAAGCTGCCTCTGCTGCTCCTTCCTCCTCCTCCTCCTCCTCCTCTGAGCCTTCAGTCATCCCAGAGGTACTGTGAGCCTGGCGTTGGTGAAGCTTGTAGCCAGCCCGGCCAGGGAAGATCATGCCACAGAGGCAGCAAAGGAAAGGTTGTGCAGAGGTTGCCTCCCCAGGCCCATGGTTCTGGAAGTGGCTACGCAGGGCAGGCAGAGAATCAAACTCCTTTGGGCAGAGGGAGCACTGATAGATGCCTGGTGGGTGGCAGGGCCTATGGCTTAGCAGGCCAGTGGCATGAGGGAAAGAATGTCCACAGTCAGAACACATATGAGTGACCTCAGCCTGCCAGTCAGTGGCAACTTCAGCACAGTGGAAAGAGCTGGGCTGACCTGAGGCTGGTTTCTCATCTTCATCCACTCCAGTGAGGCCATCACAGAAGCGAGTTCCTGTGCCTTCCTCATTCCCTGCGATGTCCAAGTTGTCAAGGAAACAGGCCTCTCTCCTTTCCAGTCCTTCCTTATTGTTTCTGCTCGCTTCATCACCCTGGAAGCAGGCCTCTTCCCTCTCAAGTCCACATTTGGCCCCTTCAGATTTGGCCTGAAAACAGTCTCCATCGTTTTCCAAGTTGCCTTCAGCCTCACAAGGACTTTTTCCTGAAGGGGCTTGAGAAGAGTCCAGGCCTTCATCATCCTTGGACTCCTGGACCCAGTTCCCTTCAGGTGGGAAGTTGGCTTCTCGACCTCCAGCACTACCGGTCTGCTTTCCATGCCTCCTGCTGCGCCGCCGACTGTGTCGCCGCAAGTGTTTTTTCAGGCCAGCCATAGTGTGAAAGTGTTTGGCACAGGCTCCACAACTGAAGTCCCCGGTCTGGTGGGTCTGCCTGTGGTTGATAAGGCTGCCTGAGTGGCGATAGCTCTTGCCACAGTCTCGGCAGGAAAATGCTCGAGGAGGAGATTCCTTGGTCTCTGTTCTGCTATCTTCCCCTGCCCCAGAACTCAGGCCATGATGTTCAAGGTTCTCAGAGTTTTGAGAGAGCATCCCACAGCTATCTTTTTGTGGTGCTCTTCCATCTGCTGTTGGGGGAATGTTAGTAGTTTGCTCTTCATGTCTGCACACATGCCCCTGATCTGTGTGTGGGGCTGCCTCTGCTTCTGCTGGCTCAAGTGGGAGTTCCACCTTGAGGTGATTGGGAGGACCCTCAGTTCCTGGGTCTGCACTTCGGCGCGCAGCCTTGCAATGTACCCGTACATGGTTGCGCAGGGCCATGAGATTGGGGTATTTGCGGGGACATAGTGAGCACTGGTATTCCCCTGTCCGATGGCTGTGGCGGTGGTTTACCAGGCTTCCCCGGTGACGGTAAGCCCGACCACACTCATTGCACTTATAAGGGCGATGGTCCAGGGTAGTGGTTGGGACCTCTTCCTCTTTGTGGGAAGTCTCAGCCAGCAGTGGGGTAGCTGGTGGCACTGAGAGTTGCCCATCTTCCCCAGTTCCTTGCCGGGGTCTGTGATGAGCCCGCACATGGTTTTTGAGGGCAGCCGCATTGAATAACTGTTTGGAACAGATTGAGCAGGGATAGACACCTGTCTGGTGGCTCTTTCGATGGTTGATAAGGCTCCCAGCATGGCGGTAAGTACGGCCACAGTCCCCACAGCGGAAAGGCCGGTATTCCTCCAGGCCACTGTCCTCCAGTTCCCCAGAGGTACTGAGCTCCCCAGAGCCATTCACCATCTGGGTACTAGGGACCTGGTCCTCACTGCTCTCATCTGTGTGCCCATTGGTGGTGGGTATCCCTTTTTCTTCCCATGATTGCTCCCGCTTTTCACCCCCATGGGACTGCTGGTGTTCTAGCAACTCCCGGGGGAGCCGGAAGGCACGGGGGCAGTGGGGACAATGGTAAGGCCGATATTGGGCATGGAGTCGGGAGTGGTTTTTTAGAGCCATGAGGTTAGAGAACTCCTTAAAGCAGATGGCACAAGGGTAGATGCCCAGGGTGTGGCTCTGGCGATGGTTGGTGAGGCTCCCAGCATGCTTGTAGGTTTTGCCACATTGACTACACTTGTAACGCCGCTCCTCCTCAGCAGAAGGAGATTGGGAAGGCTCCTGGCTCCCAGTGAAGTTCACTACTGATTCGGCCAAATACTGTTCCAAATTGCTAAGGAGGCTGTTGGCAGGGATGGGTAGAGGTGGGGCTCTAGCAGAGTCAGTGGTAGGCCCCCAGCTCTCTACACCCTCCTCAGGATCTGGTTGGCTTTCCCAGCCTTCTCTTTGTCTGGTGGGTGGATCCTCCCAAGTGCTAAGAGCTATCCTGGAGTCAGGTCCAGATTCACAGTTAGGTGTCTCTTCTGCATGTTTTGTCTGGTTTCCCCAGCCTTTCCCAGGGCCAAGTCTCTGGCCCCAAGAGTCAGTGGATATTGTCTCACTCTGAAGGCATGGAGTGGATTCCTTGGGACGAGGGGGCCTATGCCTGCGACGCCCCTCAGGAGCATGAGTCCTCATGTGGCTCTTGAGAGCCATGGGATTAGTGAAGTCCTTGCCACAGGTGGTGCAAGAAAAAAGGCCAGTCTCGTGGGTTCGGCGGTGGTTGACAAGGCTCCCTGGATGACGGTAGCCCCGCCCACACTGCTGACAGCGGTAGGGCCTAGGGATGCTGTCAGCCTCCTCACTGTCCTGTTTGGGAGATGGATGGAGTAGTTCTCGGTGCCGTGACAGTTCCGGAAGATTAGGAAAGTGGCGCTGACAGTCAGAGCAACTGAGTGAGGGGGGTGTGTCCTCCATGGGGCAATGTGGCAGAAACCTGGAGGTTCAGGAGGAGCAGACAAGTGGCAGCAGCATCTTCTTCTGGTAGAGGGGCCAAGGCCTAGGAAGAGGGGGCAGTGGTCAAAAGGAAGGCCTGAATTAACTATCTCTTGGCTGTATGAGCAATGAGTTCACCATGGGTCACTGAGTTTCCCCATCAGCAATGCCCAAGGACCTGCTTTCTACAAGAACTAATTAGAAGGCAGCATTATTTAAGGTCTTCCTTTATATAAGTTCCCCAAACATGGGCAATCCCCTAGGCTTAAGTCATCCCTAAAGATATAGCTAAGGAAATTAACATCTAAAGGGATGTAACCTACTTCTAATCATAAGCCTATGATCTCCTTCTTCAGGCCAAATCCAAAAGGTTTTACTGTCCCTAGCCCTCTGCTCTCCAAAATCCTGAAACAAACAGAAGCCTCCAGTTATATATTAAAGGGAAACCAGACCCTAACTAGGTCTTCTAGAAGTCCAATCTTTCCTCTTTCACCCTTCAGTTAGACTATCTAGAAGCACTGGAAAAACAGCTAATTCCTCCAGTTGACAGCTAAGAACCTGAAAGGAGAGATTAGAGGCCCCCTTTAGAGAAAAGGCTGGCTTGTTCCCCCACCTTCCTTAATCCTTTCAGTGTCACAAGATATCCTTTCCAAAAGACTCTTGGTCATTATTCGCCTACTTCCCCTGAACCCAAACTATCTTCCATCTTGAACATCCCATCCCATGTCAAGTTGAAATTTCAATCCATACCCTACTTTTCTCTTTCCTGTGCCTCCTTGTCCTCACCATCCTTTCTCATTTTTTTCTCTATCTCCCCTCTTAAAACTCATCATGATGACAGTTTATGCTAAGCACTGCCTTCTGTCAGGTACTGTACTAAGTATATTCATTGTCATTTAATCCTCTCTGTTATTCCAGTTTACACATGAGCAAACCCACTGACTGTGGTAATCTTCATTCCAAAGTCCTTGCTCTCTCACCAGCACCCCTCATATCTCCTACATCACCTTGGCCTCCTCCGCTTCTGACTCCTCATTCCCACGGGACCCCAATACAACTATTTCCGATTCTAGAAAACGTCACTACACCTACCCCCCGAATTCTCACCTTACAAAGCGTCTTCTCCCCCTAATCAACCACCGAAGTCCTCTCGCCTCACTCATTTCCTGTACCAATTTTCTCTCAGGACCCCTACCTCGCACCGGCTGGCCCTTCTCGTTCCCGCCGCGGGCGCGTCCGTTGGGGGCCAGGAACGGGAGCGCGCCTGCGCACTGGGACCCTTACCCTACCTGCAGCCGCGCGCCCCAAGGGGCTGCTGCGGGGGGCTCTCTCGCGCTCCCACACGGACACTGAGCCAGGGCTCCTGGAAGGTGGGAGGGGAGAAAAAAAGGGAAAGGAGAAAGGAAAGAAGAAAGAAGGTACAGGGAAGAGGGCACAGCTGGCACGCACCAGACAGGAGTCAACCTCCAGCTCCGCAGACACTTCCTATTGTTACTAGGAAACAGGAAGTGTCCTAGATGCAAACGCTTCCCCGAGAAACTTCCGCCATGGCGACACTTTTTGTCCCGCCTCCAAGCAGCAGACCTTACACAGACACACTTCCGGCGCTAGATAAAGCTTGACGCGACTGACTCCGCCCATGTAGGTCACAGAGATGCGTTTCTTCGCACTCCCTTAGCCACACTTCCGGCAAGAGCTGTTAAAATCTTTCCGGTGCATGTAAAATAAGCCCAGAAAGGGCGGCGGGGGAATTCTGGTGTCTCGGCCCGCAGTTGTTTGGGAGCACTTTTCGTGTGGCTCCCTGAATGACTCCTCCCAAGCGTCATTAAATTAACTCCTCGCTATTAAAGGAAATGTAAACTATTGTTCAAAGCTTGAACATGGCCCTTCTATCCTCTCATTGCTTAGTTTTTGGAGACAGTTCCGGTGACTTGGTCCGACAGCGATAACGCGGTGTATACTATCAACCTCGTCCGTGTTCCCTCTCCCTGGCACCCACAGAGACTTTTTGCAAGATGTTTCTCCACCACCAGAGACGAGCTGGTAGCGTAAACGTTTCCTTCCTCCCCAGTCAGAAAGCTCCCTTCCACTTCCGCTGACCGCCCGCCGGCTCCGCCTCTCCTCCCCCCCGCTGGGTCCTAGCGCCGGCCCCGCTTGGCTGTGTCCCGGGCTCTGTCCGCGCGAGGAGCCGACGGCGACGCCGCGGAGCCAGCCCAAGTCCCAGCAGGTAGGAAACGCTGGCGGGAAGTTGAGGGGACCTCGGGCAGCCCCCGCGCGGACACGATTCGAGCTGGCCTCAGTTTCTCTGTGGGCTGCGAGGACGGACTGTGTCGGCCAGGCGCGAGCAGCGCGGGCGGGGCGGGTGATGTGCGGCCCCGGGCGGGATCTGGGCCCAGCAGGTCCTAGAACCCGCAGGCTGCCCCTCCGGCCCGATGCTCAGGACGCCTCGGCTCCGACCTAG